ATGGAACAGAAGTCAAACAGAATCACAAGGAATGTGGAGCAGAAGAGAGGCAACAGACGTAATAATGGAAGAAACCATTGAGAAGCAAAGAGAAATGATAGACAAACCTGATAAGCTATTAAGGAGTGAAAAATTACTTAATGTTTTTAAGAAACTTAATTTACTACTTTAAATCTTCAAATGAAGAATAGCAAAAGGGGATGGATATATTTTTATTGACTTGTCATAGATTAAAACAATGTAGAAGCAAGAGCATAGTTTTCAACCTTGAACAAAAAGTGTATACATTTATAAAAACATATTTCTGATTGATTAAATGTTTGTCAGTTGTGGAAACTCAAACCGGGCTGCTCTTTGGCGCAGTGGGTAGCACTGCTGCCTTGCACCAGTCCAAAAACATGACTGTTAGATTAATTAGCTTCTCTAAATTGTCCTTAGGTGTGAGTGTGTGTGTGAATGGTTGTTTTTCCTGTGTGTCTCTGTGTTGCCCTACGATGGACTGGCTACCTGTCCAGGGTGTACCCCGCCTCTCACATATACAGCTGGAGATAGGCACCAGCAGCCCTCGTGACCCCACTCAGGACAAGCGTGTCAGATAATGGATGGATGGGTGGATGGATTGAAACTCAAAGCAATTATTCCATCAAAAACAGCTTAAACATATATTTGTTATTAAACTTCTATTGAATAACAAACGCTGGTTTATTTTAGGCCAAAGCTGCTAAGAGACAAGGCAGAAGTCACCTACAGCTTCCAGTCAGAGGTTTCAGACCAATAGACTGGGTCAGATTTGCGTTTTGGTTCAGTCTATAGATCTATACCTGCTTTGGGATCATTTCCCTATTTGATTCTCCAGTTTGGTCCAAGCTCCAGCTGTTGGACAGATGGACTTACCTGCAACTAGAATTCTTTTGCATACAAGTTTATAGTCGCCTCAATAACTGAAAGGTTTTGTGGTCCTGTGACTTTGATACCATCTCATATCATCAGCCCTCCAACACTGTATTAAACAGTTGGTTTGATGTGTTTTCATGATGTATAGGCTTTATTTGTTTTACTCTTAACATGATGCTGTAAATATGGTCATAGTTTTCCGCCTTTAATTTCACCATAGGAGCTTTGTAGAGACCTTGTGCCTTATCCCTCTTCTTCAAACACCTTTATCCTGCATAAAAAGGCTTGTACAGCCTAAGCCAGGGTTTTGCACAGTTCGAATTGGGACTGAATTTGCTGGGATGTCAGTTTTGAAAAGACTGGCGGCTATCATAATTTTTTTCCACTTGTCAATAATCTTTCCCTCAGTAGACTAATTAACTTTGGACTGTTTGGGAGTTGCCTTAATGACCCTTTCCAGATATTTCAGCAGTAACAGCCTTTTCTCTAAAGTCACTGCTGTCTTACCTTCTTGGCACTGTGTTAATACACAAATGCACTGTAGTTGCACTGCAACAAACTGGCAAATCTCCTGTACTAGATTAACACTTTGCTGCAGCCTGTACCTCCAAAATTACTTTAAAAAAGCAGGTAAGTACTTTATTTTTTCAATGGCTTGAATTGTATTCCCTCAAAGTCAACTTTAAGAATTCAGTGCAGTATTTCATTATAGAATTTTTATTAGACTACATCTGAAACAAAAACAAAGAAATAAGATACACAGAGGAGAAGGAGGTTGAGCCAGTACTTGATAAGCAGTTTGAAGATTAATAATAAAGATATAAAGTAATAAAATATTGGAGGCTCCTCAGTAACATGGCAAGCTGCTTAAATTATCCAAGTTATTGGAGATCCATAACAGCATCCAAACGCAAGACTTTTTTTTTTTGCTATTAATTGATATGAGATGCTATATTTTGACGAGCACATAAACATTTTATTCCATAAAGGGAGATGCTTCTTTGTATTCATGGATGAATAGCCACATTTTAACAGCAGGGTGCAACAAAATGGAAGGTTTATTTTGCAATAAAAATGAATGGCATCTTTATGAATTCTGCAGATAGGTATTAATTTATGGCTAACCTTGGTTCTTAAGACAATAAGAGAAAAGCACATCTTGTGTACAGTGGTACACTGGTGCAGAAGTACAAAATACATTTATGTGTTGTTCTAGATACATCTGTTTGGATTGAATTTTTGTTTAGTGACATTGGACTGAATTATAGGATTGCTGATTTTATGCTACTGTGTTGGATCTTGAGTGCTCTATTACTGTGCCTTTAATATTGTTATTTAAGACTGGATGGGTTGCTCTGTAAATGAAGCTTTTTAAGTCTGTGGCAAATGGCCAACAAACTGACTCTGAAACAGTTATCCTGGTCTTTGTTGGAACTCTGCAGCATTACTGTGATTCCTTGTACCATGGAGTTAGTAAAACCTGCCCCTACTGTGCCTTCGGCTGTTGTGAAACACTACTGCATGTATTTTAACAGAAACACTGAAAAAAAGAGTGTATAAGTCCTATTTTGTCCATTCTGCACCTGCCCAACTTACAGAACATTTTAAAACTTTTCTCAAATTTGTTTTGAAGTCTCTAAGTTGTCTTACCCTCTTAATTTCTCTCTGAGACCCCGCACCTGCATCACCTTATTTTGATTTCTTTCTTGATTTCAGCCTGGCTTTTATTTGATTTGTCTTTAACAATGGCGTCTTTATCGGACCTTTCCAATTAATATCAATTTCATAAAAAATGATGGATGGTTTTACACTCATGTTCCTTGAGCTTGGTGTTCACCTTCAATCTGTTTTTTCTGGTCTCATATGCTGCTATTTGTATTATCCGTCTCTTTAAGTTCTAATCAAATTTCCTTCCTTGGCCACCACCAGGGAGGTTGGCTACAGTCCCATGGATCTTAAATTAGTGAAAAACATGTGCAAATGTTCTCCCAGAAACATCAAGCTGCTTGGAGAAGGCCTTATAGCTGTTACTTTTAACATGCTTGCCTATAGCTGTCTTTCTATTCTCCTAGGAAAACTCTTTTCTTTTGCTTCATGTGGTCCATGTTGAGTGTGGTACGCACCATGTGACCAAACAGCACAGTGGCTATCTGTAGCCATATATATAGGCCCACTGATTAATTGCAAGATTGAAGACACCTTTATTGCTAATTAGAGGAAACCTTAATTTAACATGTCTCTTTGGTCACATTATTTTCAGTTTTTTTCTAGGGGTACCATCATTTTTGGCCAGGCTTTTTTCAGGAGCTCATTATTTTAAAGTAATGTTGAAAATCAATGTCTGAATTTCATTTGTTCATCTTCATAAATTACTTTACTCAGATTCAAGGTATTTTGGTGACCATTATGGGTTTATCTTTAATTTATTGAGGGGTACAAACAATTTTTCCACATGCGTATAATCCATAAAATCCTTTTTGAGTACAAACTTACTTTATGAGCAGCTTTACTGAAATATATATATATCTTATATATTTCCTCTAATTGTTATAATTGTACTGTATTTTGTTTTGTACATTACTGTGTATTTTGTTGAAATAACCTCCTTGTGAGTAACTATATCTGACACCAGTCAGTAAAAATGTGCTGGGTAAATAAACTTACTTAACAGGAAACAGAATTTTCCCTATATACAGTTTGACTTAAAGTCACTTCAGGTAAGTTTCTGGCCCAGGGCTGCTCCCAAAAGATTAAAACAAATAAACTTTAGCTCCTCTGTGGATGACTACTGCTACTTATCGAGTGGTAATGGTCTTTCCCAGAATGATAAAAGGATTTCCAATACAACAAATGGCTTTTCAATCCCAAGTAAACCAAAAAAATCTTCTCATGTTGGTCTAAACTCAATAATGGCATTAAGAAGAGAAATTCAATTGTTACCAGAAAAATATCTGCTATCAGGTACTGCAGGAACACACACACTTCTCATATATATTGCAAAACTAGAGCCAGGCCATATATAGCAGCAGATATATATGGAGGAAGTCCTTTTAAATGAAGGTATATATATATATATATATATATATATATATATATATATATATATATATATATATATATATATATATATATATACATACATTCTTTATGATATTATGTAAGCTGTGTATTTTTTTTTCCATTTTCCTCACGTCTGATATATTTTGTGCAACATATATATGAAAGAAGCTGCTTTAAGCCCACATTTTGTGAATTTTTTTAAACCTGTTTTGATAGACAATAGCTGCAGAGGGAATGCTAAAGCTCTGAGAAATGTTCATACAGGCCCATTACTTAAATGCAGAAAGGCAGCAGCTAGAACAAACAGATTGTACAACAATCAAATCCCCAAAACTGAGCAGGGGAAGAGAAATGTATCTGAAATTTTACAGCGCATGTTCAAATATACAAAGGAAGAGAGGAAAATTGATTATGGTTTTGTTGTCTCCCGTTTTTTTTTATCAACCTTGTTTTTCTACAGAAATATTAAAAAAAAGCAGTTCTTTCTGTTCTCGCTGTTCCAGTGAGGCGTGTTCTGGATGCCTTATGTTGGAAGGTAGGAGGCAAACCAATCAACCTTTAAAGTGAACTTAAAAATTACCCAATTATAACAACAATTTCATGCTCACAAATATCCCTGTGAGTCGTCTCTTCAAAGTATCTTCCTTTCCTAAAGAGTAACCCGCCCACAATGTCTTCACACACAATTTCTCACATTTTTTAATTGTAACTTCAAACCAAGCCCATACAGAGGGTTGCTTTTGAGGCTGCTGTATAGGAAAAGTTTCCAGTTAGCAAAAAGTTCCCTGCTAATTTTTGTACATACATTTTAAAAACAGAAATAAATACGAAAGTAAACTATGATATATGATATAAAACATGAATTTAAAAAAAGGAAAGATTTTTAAGGTTGTGTTGCTTTTGATCACCTCATGTTTCCAATGGTATTCTGTTAAAGAAAAAGAGCCGATAACCTGGGGAACACTCAGCACATTTGGATGGTAACAATTCCTCATCCTACCTGAAGTTATAGACAACAGGAACAACAGCAGGAAAGTTGTGCTCACCTCTGCAAGTCTGCAAGTGGTCCACAAAGCTGTGTTCAGGACATCCAGCTGTGCAGACGCCATGTTGGAGGTGAACATACTGCGGCAGAAGAACTTCCTCTGGTTTAAGGCAGCCAAGGCAGTCTGAGGCCAGAGGTCCCACACAGGAACGGCAGGAGGGATGGCAGTCTGAAAACATAATGGATCAAATTAAATGGCAATAGAACCTCCTGACCATAGTTTTATTTTTTTAATGAAAATGAATCCTCACTGTGGCAGGTGTTGTCCTGAGGGTACAGACCCTCCCCACAGGACTCCACACACTGGCCCTGGTGGAGCAGAAGTCCAGACGGGCAGGAGATACACTGGGAAACTGAGTGACCCCAGCATGAAGCACATGAGCTGTGACAGGCTGGGGAAGAATAGGGGACAAAGATTTATAGAAAATATGATAGAAAAACATCTTTATTAGCCTTACTACCAAATGTGCATTTGATCCACAGAATTCCACAGATTTAAGTGTAGAAAAATATTTCCCCACCTCTGCATCTGCTGTGGTTGTCCATGTAATGCTGAGTTGGACACTGAGTAATACACTTCCCATGATGTAAAGCAGTCCCGACGGGGCAGCTCATGCATTTGGGGTTGTCAGGGAAACAGGAGGCGCAGGATGAATCACAAGCTGTGAACCAAAGCAAGTAAATCCTAATGGCTTCATGTTGGCATCATATAAATAGCCTCATAGTCCATTAAAATTAACACTGTATCAAGGAGAAAGAAAATATTTTAAGCAGTCAGACTCCAAAAAGCACTTTATTCTTGAAGCAGAGCTATGGAAGGTATTATGTTCTGAATTAGACATCATCCAGAACTTCTGATGAAGTTATTATGGATAGAAAAGAACAAAACTAAGTAATCAAACTGTCTAGCAACCGGAAAGAAAGGACCAATATGGATATGCAAGAGCACCTAAAGTCCCTGTCACACCTTGATGATTTATCCAGTGTATGTGTGATGTCCAAGAATCTTCTAAAACGCTGGCATACGTTGAACTTTCTATGTATTTTTTCAATTTTTGGTGTACGGTATATATAGACGTGCTTGCCGTATGTCGACGTCTACCAGCGTGTTTTAGCGTGCTCATAACTTATACAAAACGTACCCATAACTTATCCAACGTATGCCCACATTTTGCCAGATTTTTCGTCAGTCAGCCATATGCTGGCTAAATCGTGAAGGTGTGACAGGGGCTTTAGTGTATAATTAAGTCAAGTTATTACAGTAGCTAAATATAATGTCAATCACTAAATCTAAGGCATTCATTAAATACAGAATTATATTTCAAACTATGTTTCAACAGAAAATGAAACCTTAAATGTAAGTTTCTTTTAAAACATTTTGAATTACATTAATAGAAAGGATATTTTTCAAATAGAAAAACATGTTTCTGGGGCTCCTAATGCATGTGAATGTGGATATCCTTGTTAGTACCTTATCCTGTAGTGCAATTATGCCCTTCATTCAAATTTCTGTGAATATGCTTGGATACAGCACGATTTAAACAGCCAAATTTTTTTAGCGAAGACCTTTTTTGGCTTCCCCTCCTTGGGGAAGGTTCCCTAACTGTCTACTAGACAACTGCTGAGTCAGAAATGTCCCACAGGATTTTATAGGCTAGGGGTCTCCAACTCCATTCCTAACGCTCTACTGCCTTGAAGTCTTAGATGCATCCCTACTCAGCAAACCTGAATGAGCTGCTCTTGCCCACGCTTTTGTCAAACTTGAGATATTGCTGAGAAGATAATTAATTATTTGATGCAGCTGTGTTAGATCTGGTGAAGGGCAGCAGATCACGAGGACTGAAGTTGGAGCCGCTGTAGTAAACCATGAGATTTTTCTATTACAAATACATGCTTTTTGAACACATCTAATGTTATTTTGGAATTAAAAAACAAAAACACAAAGCCATAATCTAAACAAGAAGAGAAATGTTAAAATAGTTTTTATATTTTATTTTATTCTTAGCCTCTCTGTCGATTTGTAAACTTTAATCCTTCATTGCAAAAGGACTATGAATAAGTCTTGCCAGTATAGGACAAAAACAGCAGAATTTAGCAAACAATAGATAAATAAATGCTGATGGAGCCAACAAAATGAAATGAATTAATAAGAATTCAAAGCCAGCTCACAAAAACAACATAAAACACCCACCGCTCATCCATCTGGCTCTGAGAATTACTGGACTGAAATCAAGTAGTGAAATCCCCTTTAGGTTGCCCAGGAAATTGACATTTCAAACTCATCTCAAAGCAGGAACTGTTTCATATGGTTTTGACCTTTTTCTCCCAAAGCCTCCCCTGGTTCTGACATTTTTTTGAAAAAGGAAACCTCACTGAGTTCAAGACTTCAATGGGAAAGGAGCTCCTTCAACACTCCTCAGGGTGGTTTTGACTACAGAAAGAGCTTAGCAATGAGTTCCCAGTAACCCTCAGGGAAGCTTATTCCTGCACCTTTATTATCATCTCACCCACTTAAAATAGAAGCTATCCATATTCATACTGGAGCTCTTTATCCTGAATCCTCATTAATGCACAAAGGACCCAGTAATTGTTGTTGTTGTTTTACTTAGTTTGTCAACTGTGGCTGACTAATCCTTTAAGCTCAACAGAGATCCTTGAAAATAAATCCAAACAAACCCTCACCTAAAGTTTCATGCAACCAATGAAGCTTTTTGCCTGAAATGCTGTTTTCACCTAATTGTATTTGGCACGGCCACACTGTTTGACATCTAATTTGTCGAATAAAATATCCATTTTCATTTGCCAGAGGAAAAACGAAACGAACCGTATAACAAAAACTGCATGGTTAATCTTTGTGAAACTAAAAGTAATGACATCCTGTGAGTTTGGAGCTTTCAGAAAAATATTTATGAACCAGTAAAAGCTTATCTATTAAAAAAGGATTTATGTGAAGTAATGCAAAAAGTTTTTATTAGGTTTAAATATGTGGGAAAAACAGTTAAAGCAACAACATTTAACAGGCTCTGTTTGTAGGCAGCAGGATTGATGTTTAGTCAAATTGTAACGGGGGTTAGATTTTTGGGGTCAGCTTTTATTAATGCTCTTCGTTAATCAAATTCATGTCATTAATTTTTTGTAAAAATGTCTAATGTCTAAGCTACAAAAAAAATTTTTTCAGCTGCAAGAGGTTTCAGATTTTGTTCAGCTCTTCCAAAACAGGTAAATTGCCAGAAGTGGTGCAATATGGGGACATCATGAATGGGGAACCCATATGGGAAGAGGTGTCTTTGTTCCTGGTTGAAACCCTCCCCCCTGAACATTTAAGAACAAACGATTACTCTATAGTGCCAATGGTAATATTTCATCATATATGTCTATATTATACTTTGAAAGGGTTGAAAAAGCATGACACAAGAACTTTAAAGCACCACAAGGTTGTTGTTCATCATACCTTCAGGGGACCTAGTGATTAGAGAAGAGCGCTTGCATTCTGAGAAAGCTGCTAATACCTGCAAACCCAACAGACTGCCACAATGGCTTCCAAAGCAGGATATTTATACCCAGATTTTTTCCTGGGTGCTCCAAGCTACTCACCCGTCACTAAGGGTTGTGTTAAATCCAGACTTCCAATTTCACTGTACTGTAAATTTATAGCAAAACATACAAGTTGATTATCCTCATTATTATTTCCAATGTAGCTTACTCCAATTAGTGTGTGAATGTGCGAGTGAAAGCGTGAATGAATGAATGTAGAGGAAAAGTATTTATACTACATGCTATTTTAGCAGATGCCATTTAGCATACATCATTCTTCTTTGATAAAAATCCAACACCTGGTAAACTGTGTTAGCTGACAAGATCTTTGCAGCTACAGTATATTCCAGTAGTATTAAATGTGGTATATATTCAAACTGTTCAGTTTCAACATCATTCCAAAGATTTTCTAACATCTCCTCTGATTATGGGTTCCCATAAATAAAGATATATGGTTTTGTACCTGACATATGGTAGCTCCTACCCTTCAGAGGAATGTTAAATAAACATAAACATCTTAGGATTACAGCAATATATTAATTCTGCGGCACCAATCATTTATTGTTTCCATTTAGTTTGGCTGTTCAGTGTCATTATCTGGCCTGTTTGCTCTCCCTTAATTAGTCATTCCTTTCACCTGTCGTTTTTCCCTCCCTGCCTCATTATAATTTATTCCTCTCACCTGTTTCCTCTGATTTATATTCAGTTCAGCCTGAGCATTCAGCACCAGATCATTGCTTGTCTTTTTGTTAGTCTGTCTGTTCACTTTGATTTGATGGTATGTCCTGGATCCTAGCTGCCAGTGGAAAGAGGGTTTTAGTGTTTGTCTCGTCTCCTGATCGTCCACTGTTCCTCCCCCGCGGAGTCCTCTGGGTTTTTGGCTCATTATGGGGGGAGGTTCAGTTTTTATCAAAGTAAGTCTGGCTCCTGGGTGGAGACCCGTTTAAACTCCTGCTTCAAGTTCCGGTTCCTACGTCCTGTCTCGGCTACCCTCCCCCACTGTGCCTGCCTGTCTGCACCTGATCCTGTCTGCTCCTGTGCGTGACCACCTGGTCATGCTTCTGGTCCCAGTAAGACTCTGAACCCTCCTGGAAGCCTGTGGATTCCTGGAAGTCTGGATCCTGCCACCTGTCTCTGTTCCTGCCTGATCTGGATCCTGTCTGTTCCTGTCTGTTCTGGATCCCTCACCAGGATCAGCTTCCAGCATGACCTCTGGGACTGCAGCACTGGGGACACTCGTGGTCTGGACTGTTAAACCAGGTAAGTGACGAACCCAGATAATCATATATCAGTTTATCGTGGTCACTTACCTGTGTTTCCTCCCCTAGAGTGTCTGAGATTGAGCGGTGCCCCGCAACCCAGTGTCCGCGAGCCACAGCTCCGCTTTTGATTTGTTTTTATTTTAATAAACCTTTTGAACTTTCCTACTGACTGTCTCTCCTGAATACTGGGTCCATCTGTCCGTGATTCATGACATTCAGTTAGAAGATAAAATAGTCAAACAAGACAGAAAACTTTTCTGTTTAATAAAGCTGATATAAATACTGTCTTAAGTAACCCCAGATTATTAGTGGTTATGCTGTTATAGGTTTAGGCTGCTGGAGGACATAATTAACACATTTCCTAACATATTTCCTAGGGATGGGCAATTACAGTCTTCAAGGGCCAGTTTCCAGACACTTTTACATATGTCCCTACTCCAACACGCCTGAATTAAATAATAAGATGGTCGCTAGGAATCTTGAGAACAGTTTATACTAAGGATGTAATTCAGCCGTTTTATGTAGGTGTGCTTGTGTAGCTGTTTTATGTAGGTGTGCTGGCCCATACTCTATACATGCTGACTCAAAGCTCATCTGCATACAGTAGTTGTGTTTCTCTCCAAGATGAAGCTTCTGCTGGACTAACTACTGGCATTTTACTTTTCTGACACAGAAAGTACTGCTGGATCTGTGATCAGTGTTCCTTTTGCACAAGCGCTGTATCCTCACTATGATTCAGGTTTTGGTTGTTCTGGAATTTTACTACAGTTAAATGAAATTTCCCTTTACACCTTTCCTTTATGCACGCTAAAAATGAGAGATTGCTGTAAATGACACAATACAAGCAACTGTCCACAGTCGCTGCATTCTCATCCAGAAAGAGTGAATTCTGCAAATCAATCCCTCAGTGCAATCTGCTGGGTAGACAATTCTATAGCAAATCTGACTGTACGATTTGAACAAAGTGACAGTGAAGTGTCTTGAAGAGAAATGTTGTTAATTGGTGCTAAATTGAAACCTGAATTGACTCTTTATGCTTTTATTAAAAACAGTATATTTAACTTGTATAAAGATAAAAAGTCACAGTCAATAAAGATAACTGAAAAGCTTTAGTTTTTTTAATTGAAGCCAGGAATAGCCAACCTGTTAATCTATCTGCCATTCTATAAATAATGTGTATTTATTGCTTTTCTTTTTAATATAACTTCTGCAGACCTCCTATGCTGTGTAATAAGAAAAACATGTTTTTCGTAAAGTAGAGCACCAACCTTGTAGTTTTTTTGAAAATGTTTTGGTTAAAAACAGCCTTAACAGGTTGTTTTCGCAAACGAGTCAGCAGGAAGCGAATTACAAATACTTACTGCATAATGTTTTAATTTGCACACTGAAGAATGTGGTCCTCAAAAAGAAAAAAAAAAGACATAATGGGAATCAATTAAAACTGGCAGCTTGAGATTTGTCTGAAATTTTAAGTGATGCATCCTGAATGTGAACTATTTCAGTCTCTATCTGTGTGAGCTGCATTTTAAACTCTTGCAGCATTGTATTTTTCAAGTGTACTTTTGATTTTGCCTGAAAGATGTATGCAGGCCTTTAAAAAGTCTGTGATATTAGTAAATAGATTTTTTTCTTCACATTTTAGCTTTCCGTACTGTTTGCTTGAAAACAATCACATCATGTCCAAACACATAAAATGATTGTAACCCTTGGTTTAAAGTTGTTGGAGGAACAGATGGACAACTTTAAAAGTAGAGAACTTTCTTGATGACATTTTGTAGGTTTAATTATTGCAATTTGAAGGCTTGTCAGTTTTACCGTAACAGACTCCCTCCTGGTTGTAGTATCCTGCACCGCAGTCAGAGACACACACTCCGTCTTTGAGCAAAGCAGCTGGATCAGAACATGATAAGCAGTCCTGTTCAGTCAGTCCACGGCATTCAGAACAAGACCCGTGACACCCTGGATGGAGGAAAGAGCTTTGTTTTAGTGGAGCACATTGTTTGGAAAAGGCATATCCACTGCAGAAAGAAAGAGTAACACTGTATGTTGAGTTTGGACTAAATCTCTTTTACACTATAAAGAGTATTTATGATAAATTGACCAAAAATGACATTTGGCATGAAATTATATTTAATAGTTAGCCTGCCTTTAACTGATTTAACTTTTTATTTGGCTATTCTTTTTGGATTAATAATACAGCCACTCACAGTGGGTGTATTATTTCACGTCTGTCCACCCATGACCTGTCCACCTGCTGACAAGACATCAACATACTAGAAGTATTTCAATTGCAATAATGATGGAGGGAGCAGCCATACTGACCTGAATCCAGATTCATGATGAAGCAAATTAAAGATAATAATTTTGCCTCTATTTTGAGAAAATATTTATCAGAAGCAGATCTGCCTTTGTGACTTGTTTTAGAATTGATAAATGTCTGAATAATTACAAGAGGTTTGCAAATATTTAACACTCTTATGTCTTCATGAAATGATTATTTTTGCTTATCCTTCTCAAACAAGCTTTGCTGTTTAAATCCAAATTTTATTGCTAACTGATTTACTTAACGCAAAGAACCATTTTATTTCCTATCAAGTTATAAGAGTTTTAGTTTTAGTCACGCATACTGTTGTTCTGCATGTGTTTGCTTTTTTCTGGAGCTGTAGGAAAGGTTAGAAAAACAGCATGGCAGCAAATATTATCTAATCAAGAAAACAATTAACAGATGTAATTTTGGCTATGGGCACCAACAGCTATTGGAATTTAAAATAGTTCTCAATGGAAGCCAAAGGGAACAATTTAAGCCAGAGACACAAAGGAGGCTCACTGCTGTCGCACACTGAATCATTTTCTATGAATCACTGCACTTTATGTGTAATAATCTTTCATTTGAAATCATAATGACCTCTAGAACAGGTTCAGCGACTAGCATCAGTTACCATGGCTACAGACTCAGGTAAGCTTTATAGTACTAATAATCACGCAGAGGAATCTTCATTAACTTTTGACCTCTAAGACCATTTGTAGATACTTAAATGATGCATGATCTTCAAGGAGTGGCAGTCCTTTTGATTTCACAGACTTTTATAAAAATCAAAGTCAGGGTAAAAGGTGTCATACTCTCAAAGACCAGCACTGTTCATGATGCAGAAAAATAAAAATGTTCTTAATGGCCGGTTTTAGAAAAGTATTGCTAGGATGTAAACAAAGTATAATTCATCCTTTGTGTGTTTGATATAGCTGCAAACCCCAAAACTTTTCATTAAGGGAAAACAATTTTTTTTTTAACCTGGGTAAAATCTGACTTAAAGGAGGACACCAACATGTTTCACTGATTCAAAAGCTTCTATAGGACTAACAACTTTGCAACTCTTTATATTCAATGGATCAAACAATATGATATTAGAAAATTATTACAGGTTTTAGAAAGTACAAACTCTTCTTCTTTTCATTTTGTCTCTTTAAAGAAATATAACATGAATCATTTTAAATAAGCACAAGAATGTGACATTAAAGGTTAAAATATTAAGGAATGAATGGAGTATAGGGGGAAATCTAGAGAGCCGCAGTTAGTGAGAGAAACTCAATGAGACAAGGGGAAATTCACCCTAGAAGAGTCTAATTAATTTAATCAGTGTCATAAGCACAGCTGATAAAAATCTTAATCAATCTGAGATTTCAGAACAGAGACCAATATGTATCTAAGAAGTTATTAGAACAGAGTGTGAAATAAATCATGCAATCCCTGCTGCTCTCTGCCAACTGTCCTCAGGTAATAAAACTCATTTTGTTGAGATCCTGGAAATTTACCACCCACAGCTAAATGTCTCCTGCGACCACCTTAAAAACAATTGAATTTAGATAAAGATTCATCAGCTTTCTTTTTCCCCTAACATTATTGTTGCTTAAGTGCTTTTTGTTAGAAATTTCAGGGGCCTTTCCAAAAAAGGAAGAGTCAGAAGTGAGCATTAAAAATGAAAATGCAAACGTTCACTAAAAGCAAACATACCTCTGCAAACTGTCATTGCTGCACACACAACTTAATAATTGACAACCTTTGGATCCAAGCGGGATCATCTCTAGGTCAAAAGTTTAAGGAACAGAGAACCTGCCTGTGCATATCTCTCCCACTGGGAGGCCTGACCTTACAAAGGGCCAGATTTAGCCAGAATAATGTCAATAATTGAGAAATATATGCAGCAGTTCATTATAGAGATGGAGAATTAATCCTTCCTTCCATTTTCACAACTGTTATAAAGTCCTCCTGCCAAACAGCATTACATTGGGTCTCAAAATGTTGCATAATGTACAGAGAGACTTCAACATGTGCAGGGAAGATAAAAGAAATCACTAAAACAATGGCTAAAGGATGTTGTAGCCCATGCTGGCTTGATGGTGCATATTGATGAACAGGAGCTTCGTCACCAGCTCTGGAGGCATAATTGATCAGATCTTTTTGTTTGAGGCTTACTTCGAACAGAAACTCCCCAAACAGGGTTACTCTGTCATTTGACAAAATCAGCACTCCTTATTTATCACCTGCACTCAAATCTAGCTCCACATTACTCTGTCATCCTGTGCACCTAATTGTATCACTACCATTGTCTTTAGAAACAAACTCCTAATTTTGATTAGGCAACATACCAATACTCAGGGAAATGACATGGCTGCGTCCGAACGTCCGCCCAAATCGCTATATAGGGCACTATATAGTCGTTACATCAAATTTTATGAGTGTCTGAATGCCTACTGGATGAAAAAGTAGGGGACTCGAAATTTCCAACAATGCATCTTGAAAACTAGTGATCATCCATGGTCAGACATATCCCAGATTGCTTTGCGAGTGCTCTCCTTGCAAACGATCATGGAATTTGTTGTGGCGCAAACAAATAACAAAGATGGCGCAGGCACAGTGTGGGGAGGCGGAGTTTTGTGACCAATGAGGAGTAAAAATAAATGTAATCTAAATCCCTTTATTGTCCCACAATGGGAAAATTCACTATCTGCATTTTAACCCATCCCCTTAGGGAGCAGTGGGCTGCCATTGTCTGGCATCCGGGGAGCAATTGAGGGTTAAGTGTCTTGCTTAGGAACCCAGAATGGAGGCTGTAGGTATCCTTGCAACCTTCTCATAGCGCAAGCACACTGCTCTAACCACTAGGCCAACACTCCGAGCATGAGGAGCAAAAAGTAGAGATCATCTGTCTAAACGGTCAGTTAACTAAGTTCACTATAATGTTCACTACATAGTTCCCACTCTATATAGTGATTGAGAGATTCAGGGTTTAGGGTGGATTTTCGGACACAGCCCATGACTTCAGACTCCATCAGATGCCACAACAACTGCATCATCAGGAAAAAAAGACATCACAAGTAGCGGATCTGTGGCTCAATTGTGTCCAAAGAATATCTTTCATGATTTGGTGCTGATGGCTGGCTTGATTGCTCATTTCCTTCACCTGTCTAGCTCTTCCCTGTTCATCATCAGATCCACCTGTTCCGGTTTACTATTTAAGCCCCCTGTGTCCCAGCCGTCAGCTCCAGATTATTCTTGAGCCTTTGGTGTAGAGAGTTTTTGTAGCGTACTTTAGTGTTGTGATTGTATGATCCTGATCTGTTGCTACCTTTGGACCTTTAAGCCTGCCTGCCCCGGTCTTATTAGTTTGCCTGCCTGTCTTCAGTGTCCTGTCTGACCTTTTTGTGGATTATCCTGTGTGTCTTTGTCTGCGTGGAACTGATTTCTGTCAGCTCTGCAGCCTTCCGCGCCTGGGCCTCTCTGGCAGTGTCCGCTGCTTCTTTTCCGTCTACCGGCTGGCATCATGCTCTGTCTTTGGGCACCGGACTGAACCGTCAAACCAGGTTAGTGACTCGTGCGTTCTCCATTAGATTGTTGCACTCACTAACCTGTGTTTCCCTCCAATAGACGTTCCTGTTTCTGACACCTAGCCGCTGCAGCAGCTGTTATCACGTTTCTGTTTATTTAAATAAATGCTTTGAATCATCCCGCTGTCTGTCTGGCCTGAATACTTGGTCCCTCTGTTCTGAATCATTACAATATTGGCTTTACAAGAACCACACAGCCTTTACAAGCAGCACAGCTTTTTAGAGGAACCCTTTGTAAGCCTTCACTGGATCCACAAAACACAAAAGTGATGAAAAACACAAACAAGGACCTTATCAGCAATTCTACTTTTCTGGGGCCAGGACAGAAGCAACGCCCCTCCTGAATACGAGGTTCAATAATCAGTGCAGCTGTGGATCAATTGACACGGCAAAGTTTTCCAGACATTAGAAGGAAAACCTTGATGAGGATTAAAATCCAATATATCTAATTTATAACCTATTGATGTCAACTTCTGAGTCCTTGCTAGTTAATTTTCATGTGGCAATGTCATGCATGCTAATAACTGGTTGCCTGGGGGATGAAGAATAAATCAAAGGTTTTAAATTTAGTTGAGAAAAATGAATATCAACCAAATAATTTAGAGTTTGATACTGGGCATGGATTTCTAAGATGAGGGAAACTTCTTTCTAAAGGAGTTGCAGGAAATAGAAAAAAAAAAAAAAACACCTCTGCAGTGACCTATAGATTAACAGGTGAAATGGATTCAGCTCCTGCGTTTTCCCCATTATCTGAGGACATCTCTCTGTTTTTGAACTTTTGCACCTCTATAACTTCCTCCTTCAATTACCATCTTTCTTTTTCCTCTAGTCCTTTTTTTTAACAATTTCTTTACTTCTGTTGGTTTCTTTTCCTCAAATGATTTACTTCATGTTTGATATTTATAAAATTTACAGTAGGATCCATGATACGCTCTTTAGTTTTTTAAAATACCATAAAAATCCTTTTAATGTCCCACTCACCCAAAGATATTATGGAAACTATTCCTTCAAAAACGGTTACAGCCAACAAGAGGATTACATGTCCTTTACCTTGCTCCTCTCAGGAAAGCAATTTATTCTTCCAGGCAGCCCTAAGCGTAAAGTTATCAGCAAATATAATCCTGGAAGTTTCCAAAAAAAAAAAAAAAAAAATCCCCACTCTGCATGAAAAGGGGCAGGTTTGGATGGATACACGGTCACACGGTGCAGTGGATAATAACCGTTCTGCGTCCCTGTGGAGCCGAACGGGGACACAATTATCACGCTGCCGGAGCGGTTCACATCTCCCAAACCTCCAGTGATAAAACCAGATGAGATGAGATATTCAGCAATTAAACTAAGCGTGGGGAAAGCAGATATGGACAGATAAAAACATTCATCAGAGCTGTATCTGAAAATCTGTCGTTGGGAGGAAATCAGAAGTGAAATTAGGTTTGCCTGAGTGTGTTCTATTATTCATTCATCTTAAATTAGAATTTGATTCAAAGCAACAAAACAGAAAGCTGCCACATTACATTTCTTTATACTGCTTATTAAAGCCTGGAATGAGTTCCCTTGCAAGAACTGTAGCAAACTAAGAAAGGAGGTTCATTTTAGGTAAAGTTTAGACTGCAAGTTTGTTTAAACCTGTTATAAACCAAGGAAAGAACGTTTTGCTCCAGAAATAGTCCACAGCACCAAATGAACCCTTCAAAGTTGTTAGACAAAAGCTAAGAGGGGAAAGACAGCTTTAAACGAAAAAGGGGGGTGGGGGTTGATTTGACACAACGCCCCCATAATTCTTCACAAGTCTGCTGAACGGAACATATGCAGATAAACGAAAGCTTTTCGAAGCTCGAGGTGTTTAAAAAGTGAAGACCTCACAGCAGCGGCAAGAGCAGCAGACTGCTGTTCTGGGTGGTCCACATCTCCTGCCAGCGAAAGTTACCATCTGGCAAAACACCTCACGAGTTCATTACCAACGTCAGCTCCCATCTCCTCAACCTCCATCTCCAATCCTTTCTTCCATTTTCTGCAGCAAGAAATCCACTCAGGCAGAAATCAGGCCTAATGCGTTTCACTGAGGCATCTGCTGATTAGCAGTCACACTGACTGTTTCCACCACAGCTCTTTTTCTGTTTTTGTGGGAGGAAAAACAAAACAAAACAATGGATTTTATTCTTATTAAAGCCTATTGGAGATTAAAGAGAAATGGATGGTTGGTTTTATGAATCCCACAAAGGGTTTAAATCACAAAAACTGGCCCGGAGGTGCAAATTATTATCTTTTTTTACAGCATTAAACCTGGATTAATGCAGGCAGGGTGCATAAGTGGACGGGTTGCAAAACAACTTGCTTTCACTTGATTATGTAGTGCTATATTTGAGAGTAACACATTCTCTGTTAGTCTGGACTAGATATGATTAATGCTCTATGGGTGAATCCTTCAATGGATTGCACAAAAGCAGGACAGAGGTAGTATCGCTCGGATTGTCCTCTGAGATTTTGTACAATGCTGCCATCAATCTAGTTATGGAGCATTAGCCAAAGGTTCAGCATTAGCTGCTGTGGTCTAACCAGAGTAAAGCTGGTTACTGAGCTTGTGCACAGGGAGGTCTGCAGTCATTAAGCAGAGAAAATCAGCAGCAAAGCTGCTTAAACCCCAATAGAATAGAAAATAAATACCCGTTATTGTCCCACATTGGGGAAGTTCAGGTGTACCAGCAGCAAATTGAAAGGCAAATGGAGGCATACAGATAAAGGCGAAGACAAAAATTAGAAAAGCAAAAAATAATAAGAATAGAATAAGAATAAGAATAAGAGGCTGTACAGCATGTTTACTCTGTGCTCATCAATACAGCTTCTCTCCGTGTCATTTTATCCCTACCAATCATCTAGAGAGACAGCAGTAGGTCTCCAAAATCAACTAAGCCGTGCATCAATAAGCACAGAATGTTACATCTATGGAAATCTATAAAAACATGCTACTGGTGTGTGAACAGTAATTAGCTTGTTTGTTTAATTCTCAAACCATTAAAATGGCAGATAAATTAAAGGCAATTAAAACAGCACCACTGAGCAAAATATGCAACGGTTACTGAACATTCAGTAAATATGTGATGTTTAGCTTAGGAAATCTATTTAAATTTTTTCTTACGGACCAAGAATTCACAGCAGATGTAGGAAACATCTCAAATATTATAGACAGACATAAGAAAAAAAAAAAAGAATAAATAGCATTATAGGTAAAAAAAAAAAGGAAAAGTGGAATGATAAAGATTTTTCTGTGGTAAACCCCACAGAAAAAGATGTGCAAAAAGGCTTTTTTTTTCAAATTTTTTTTTTTTTTTGTGATTTTATGATGTTTATTAAAGCCCGTCAAGCCACACAATAATACAGACATAATAAATATCAGCATAATATCAGATTAATCATATCAGGAATTAGAAATGTAGAATAGGTCCTACAATAGGACTGCCCCTCTGAGTTACGGTCATAGATGTAACAAAAATCTTGCTTGCAGATGATAATCTTAGCACATTTTGTTTAGTTGTTCCAAACTCCCTTTATACTAGCTCTGAAAAATGCAGTTTATTAATGCTATGTTCCGTTTTCAAACTAAGCACATTGATCCTGTACTGGTTGGAAGGAGAATAAAAGCAACTTTATCTTGTTTATCTTGAAATAGTTGATTTTCACTGTGCAATTTTCCTTTTGTAGCACATTTTTAAAATGTGGTTTTGTTCCGATCTGGGCTCCTTCTGCCAAGAAGGTAACAGTTATCTTAGCACTCTGAAAGTAGAAATGGATTCTGTCATTTGCACAGAATTACAGGCAGCGTAACAAAAAGTTCAGCTAGAACATCTGGTTGAGGAAAGCAGCTGAGGCAGAGAGAAAACAAAGAGCTGAGAGGGGGAGGCTAATTAATGCAAGGAGTATAAAAATTCCTAGAGAGAAACAATAGGAAAAATTGAAGAGAAATCATCACAATAATGAACTATGGACCTAAGGCAGAAAGGAATGAACTAAAATAAAACTAGAGAACATTAAAACAAGGAATTAAAAAAAGACAAAAACCAAATGTATTTCTGCCATTCGTTAATAATAACTGTCCCGTCCTCCCTGTGAATAAATGAAAGCTCTTTTTCTTTTATTGATTAACTCTTCACCTCATCTTTAATCTCTGCATATCCAGAACATATGGACAGTAAACAAAAGAATGTTTTTTTTTTTTCAAATATACGATTAGGAAAGTTAAAAAAAAAAAACAACAACACTGCTTTTAAAGTTCTAAATTTAGGTTTTTATAAAAGAGGTTTTTGAGCATGCAAGAACTTTAGAAGACAGAATTGATCCAATTGATGTTACATTTAATTTGTGGATCGGATCAATGTAAGGTGATTTAAGACATATCTAGGTCAAATTGAAATGCATAAATTGTGCATTAAAAATGAACAGAACTAACCTTTTACCTAATTGCTACTGTTTTATTACTGAGCTGTAATTAACTGCTCAGTACTGTACCTCACACCTTTAGTGTGTAATTTGTCATAATTATCTAAAAGTGAAGAGGTTTACAAGGAGACCTTGCAGAGAAATTAAACTGTTATATTGTCAGGTTTATCAAAAAAAGTATTTAGATCAAAAAGTCGAAAGAGTTGACATTAAATCACCCAAAAAAAGAACTAGTATTTGTCTGTATGTGTGTGTTGGAGTGTGTGGGTGGTGATGTGAGACAAAAACAAAAACAAACAGAAAACACTTTACTCCAAATTATTCAGTTCTTTTCGAGCAGAAATGACGATTTTAAATAACTTTCTGAGGCAGAGCATAGGGGCCAAAGTGCAGCAGCAAATCACCAAGCAAAGGCGTCAAAAGTACAAATTCTTACATCTCCACAATACCAACGCAATAAGACTTAAGCTCAAAGGGGAGAGGTCTGACCCCCATCGCTTTGTGAAATATTCAGAGCTCTTCTAAAACACCCTTCACTGATAATAAGTCTGACAGAGTTCATTCAAGGAAACAAAAATGCATAAACACAAACTCCCCGGTGTGCTGTTTTGGAAAAACACCAACAGTTTGTAATGAAAGTTTTAAGAAATTAATATTTTAATGAAATGTCAGAAAGAATGTTTGAGAAAACTCTGAATGAAACATTTTCTTCACTGCTCTCTGTATCAGTGCTAAAGCATTAGAGCTACTAGATGCTACTGAAAGGTTAATGTGTTGTCTTATTGGGGAGGTTTGCAGGGATAATAACCAGTGACCGTATTCTGAGATGCTGATCTGATTTAGCAGCTCACCTGAAAAAAATTCAATAATTTATTGTGTGAACCGAGTCAGTCCACAGCAAATGTGTTTACGTCATATTAAAACTACATTTTTCTTTGCTTTTATTTGGGATTTCTGTGACAGATCTGAAGGAACTTACTGCGACAGCGTCCGTGGTCGTGTTGGTAGGAACCAGGGGGACATGAACCCAGGCACTGGTTTCTGTCAGGGCCCAGAAAAGGCAGTCGGGAGCCACAGGACTGGCAGTCCCATCTGCTAGAACAGGTGGCACAAGATTCTGGGCAGGCTGAGAAGAAAAGGAAGAGATGTGGTCTAATAAGTTCCCTGAGATATACATTTTCAGAGGAGAACTGAGTTCTGAGGACTGAAACTGAAAAAAAGGTGTGAATTTTGGACAAGTAAACCCCATGAGGGATGTTTATTTAAAGTTTGCTGGAGGGTTGTCAGATTGTTAAAGGGAGCATGGAGAGAAAAATTGAAGATCTCAGCATAAATCCAAGTTTCCTCTAATATCCAGAGAAAGGAAGCAAACTAAAATGAGAATTTAGTATTTGCTGTACGGAACTAAAACAAGCCTGCAACTAAAAGGGCAGCAGATTTCTTTGCTCAGGGATTAAAGTATTATGTTGCACATTTCCCTTCAGTAACTTTAGTGCAGGTCTGCAGGTTGTGTCTTCAAAGGTAACTCCACAGGTGCACCTCCTGCTTAATCCAACAAAACTGTGAACTCTGCAGTGTTGCATTAACATTAATACACCTACTGACGAAAAAAGATTAAAAACCAAAAGCAAAAGCCAGATTCTGATATAAACTGTTTCACAGGCCAACCAGTGATGGGGATGTCAATTAAAAAAAAAAAAAACCTGAAATGTTTGAAACAGGTACCACAAAGCGAAGGTGGAGGAATCATGCGAGAAATAATGTGTGGCAGACGCCCCAAACAGGAAGAAAACAATCAGAAGGCAACAGATGGCATTTTGAAAAAGATCACAACACTGGATTTGATGAGGTGATCTGCTGTTACAGCCTACCAATAAGATGTTGAGGTCACCCACTGGTTTGGCACATCAGAAAAAATTAACGACTGAAGTTGAGCCAATTTTTCCATACCTCTATGGATTCTGAGCTTGCCAAATGGATACAGAGAAAAGACTCTTTACTACACCTGGAACATCTTTTAACATCTGCCATTGGCAACAGGTTTGAGCCGAATACACAGGCTACTGTTAAATGCAGAGCAGGGAAGGATGCATTTGGAGCTTTATCAAAACCAGCACGTATTGTGTTTTTAGGAGCATCTTGGGTATGGGTCACATACATATAAAATGCAGCAATAAGAATAATAGGCTTATATTCTCGTGGTATAATCAAGTTTCCTTGTGATGGAACATGTGTGGGATCCGTTCCAATATCAACTTAGACCCAGGTTTGTTTTGATCATTTAAATTTGAGGCTCAGTTAGAACAGCTTAGCTAAAACTTACTGAAGGACAGGATGTAGTGAACGTTCATTATATATTTATCATGGCGCTTGTTTATTGCAACCTACGAGGCACATGGTGAGCCATTTTTCTTTAGGGTCAGAAGCAGGAAAACTGGGAAAGTGTGGAAGTTTGAATGGTTCAAGGAAGGCCATATAAAATGAACGTGTGTCTGCCTCCTGCCTTTATCAACTGCGCTTCTAAAAACTCTCACTGAGCTTTAATATTCAGGACAACGTGATCAGTATCAAATGTAAGCACGCAAAGTTGTAAGACCGCGACAAACAAGCTATTTTATAGAACAATGCAAATGTGACTTTACTACACTACTACATTATATATAAGGGAACTATTACTACACTCTAAATAGTCCTTTATGATGTTAATAATGCAATATAGAAAGCAGGCTGCCTTGGGCAGGTTAATTTGATGTGAAATTGCAGACCAGCTACTATAGTTTAAATGCAGGAACTGTTCACCCTGATTATAATAGAAAGGCATCATAATAAACAATGAAGAACATTTTGTCGTCGAAGGATCTGCATAGCCAACAACTAGTATACCCTGATGGTTTTGGCATCTTTCAGCAGGATTATGTGTTCTCACAGATCCTTGCCTCAGGAATGTTTAAAGTAACATCAAAGTGTTTATGAGGATTGAAGTATGCTCCAAAGTCCCCTGCTCACTCCAATCAAACATGTATGGAAGCCAAGCTCACAACCAAGCTGGAGGTTTCTGCTGGGATCATGGAATCAAGGACCACAACAAACCTTGATGGGTCTAGTGAGAGTAAACGCCTCAGTGGGTCAGGTCACAAGACCGCACAGCAAATTTTGCTTTATTTCTTTTGTTTTAAGTTTGGATTCTAGCTTGTATTTGTTTGAGCTGAAGGAGTGGAGAAGAAAAAAATGAATGATAAGCCTATTTGGAAATATCAATTTGATACTAGAGGAGGATTTTGAAATACTTTGATTCAGTTTCAGTCAGCGTGGATAAAACTCTGCACCAAAAAAAATTTAAACAAAAACACATTCCTGAAGCTGCATCTTTCCAGGTCTACAGATAAAAAAAGCAAGCAACAAGAGAATGGTGATTTTTCCTTATTCACTTCTGTCTAATTGTTTTCTAAATTTATATCACCAGAAAAAACACTGTCTCAAAAATGGTTTAAAACTCTCTCAAACTACTATTTAATAATAAAAACCAAAAAATAGTAAGATAAACGAAAACAGAAATCTATTAAAACAGAAATCAATCCTTAAAGTTTAAGTTTCCTTGTTCTTCAGTGCTCTGAAAGCTAAAAAAAAAAAATCTTCCTGAATATAAGTTGACTTGAAGCCATGTAGAAGGAGAAATAAAGCAAATAGAAGTTGCTGTTAAAGTGAAAAATATACAAATAAACACCCTTTAAATCTAACAACCACCCACACAGACAGACAGACAGACAGCAGGGTGGGGTGGAGGGACGAGATTAAGTGGAGACAGCGGAAAGCCAGGAGGAGGAAGGATACATACAGATTATGGAAAAGAAGCTGAGAGGGGAAATACAAAATAAACACCCTCAGGAAGCAAGATGATAAATCTAAAGGAAAGTTAAATACATCTGATTAGAAATATGAAGCTCTGCCCCGTCACTTTATGTTCACCCACATCTGCTCAGAAACATCAATATTTACAAGTATTGATCTCACCGGCAATAAAAACAGAAAGGAAGTGAAAAGGTCACACAACTGCTATAACTTTTATATACAACACATCTAACAAGGATCTCTTTGTCTTTAACAAGAATAATTTGACTAGCGCCCACACTGTTTTAAACTGAATCAGTGCAACTTTCTTTTCTATAATTTAAAACCCTTTATTAAATTGGGGTTACCGCAAGGCTCCTCATTCGGCCCCATTCCTTTTTTTTGCTATACTTCACTTTTAAAAACTCTGCTGATGGTGTTTGAATCTCCCTGCCTATACCAGGTAGAAAATTGCTTATGTTTAGGATTTGGTAAATGTTCCTTGAAGACTCCTACATTTCTTGGTAATGTTATTAACCCCTTAAAGAGGTAATATAATAATTATATAGGGTCTTTGAATAGGGGGTGTAACATTGGTTGGGCTGAAAATGGCATATTTGCTTTTCTATGAGCCCTAATGCAAGCCTGGTTAAAAGCCCCAGAATTAAAAGACAGGTTTTCTTCCTTTTATAGTATGGTCATGTATATTTAGATGTGCTGTGCGCTGATTGGTTGGTTTACAACAAGCGAAGCTGCTCAGCAAAGACTCATAATAGCAACAAACCCTCACTCACTGAAACATGAAATTGTCCGGGGGAATTTCAAAATCATCTGGGATTTTGGTTGACTACAGTGCAGCAGAACCGAGCAGTCAGTTCCGGGTCTGGTCCGGGAACCCTGGTGACGGCCCGGACAAAGACGGCCCCGTGCTTCATACAGTCACCAGGTTGGGTTTGGACCAGCCCTGGAGCTGATGGCTTGGTTTGAATGCCTGGTCTGGTCCCCCCAGTGGCCCAAAACAGAGATGATGTGAGACTTTTCAGGCTGGTTGAAGACCAGACGTGCCGCCATGTTCTGGATCATTTGTAACGGTTTTACTGTACAGCTGGGAGACCAGTCAGGAGTGCGTTACAATAGTCAAGACGGGAGATAACCATCAACTGCACTAGGAGATGGGTAGGATGCTGGGTAGAACGTTAATCTTGTTTGTCTTTGTGAAAAAGGAGGCCAATCTGAGTGTTGTATTCCCAACGCTCACATTTGGCCATGAGATATGTAACACAGCCAGAATAAAAATCCTGGTAGAATAACCTGAAATTAGCAGGTTCTGAAGGAATAGTTGTATCTCTACATTGGATGGAATGGGTTGAGGTCATTTAGGTGTCATATTAAAAAGGGTTTAAAGTGATCAAAGGAATCTTCTAAAATGGGATCAAATCCCACTTGAGAAAAAAAAAAAAAAAAGACAGCTACAGTATTTGGTCCGGTAATTAACACCCTTTTTCACTGGCTACAAATCAGAAGAATGTGGCTGAGGAGAATGAGGAGTTTCCTATCATGCATTCAGTGCATCTGTGAACTCCATTTCATATACATGAATGGATGAACGCTGGATGAACAAATGCATAACAGCATTCAAAATATATGTTGGTGTCAAACTGTCATTATGCTGCACTCTGCAATTTGTTAGAATTTCAGAGGTGAGCGCTAACACGGGTGAGAAACAGAATGATAGTCTCAGATCTCTATTGGCTTCAGACTATATCGTCTCTGGGCTCACGGTTTAGTCCAAACCATCCATTTCATAGAGCAGCATCTGAAATCAATTCAACTTTCTGTTGAGAGGGACATTTTTTATATCACAACCTGGCACTTTTGAAGTTCATAAATATTACTATACTACCTCCCACAGCTGTATGTTATACATACTTTAAGAGCCTTTTGATTCCTTTCATATTTTCAGAGAAAATAACATGAAGTCTTGTTATGTTTACCAACAGCTGTAGTTGGGAATATGTGTATTTTAATACATAATGTTGCATTTTACATCTCATCTGAATAAAAAAAAACCCTGCTTGGCAAACATCTTGTTCATCCAGAGGACAGTAATCAGAGATTATATTGCCTGATGGCAAATCACAAACATAAACAGAAGCACAGCGAAACGCAAACTGAATCTTGGTTTAAAAGTCATTTTAATTACATATGTAGTTACACAAACACTGATGGCAAAACATGATTATTGTTTTAACAGCATTTATTGTTATTCATATATATCTGCTGCTATTTTGAACAGAC